ACGTATAATAAATTTCATTCAACAAAAGAAGCATGAGATATTTTAAAGAATGACTTTGAAGGAACGAAAAAGACAAGAATAGTCAAGCTTCAATCATTAAGACGTGATTTTGAGAATTTAAAAATGAAAGATGGAGAAACCATTAAAGATTATTCTTTGAGAGTAGTAGAGCTTTTGAATCAACTAAAAGCATATGGTGATAACATTACTGATCAATGAATAATGGAGAAAATACTAATTTGTTTGCTAGAAAAATTTGAGATGGTGGTAATTATCATAGAATAATCAAAAGATCTACCAAATTTAATCATATCAGAACTTATTAGTTCTCTTTAAATTCATGAAAACAGAATGTCAAGAAGACATGAAGCATCTTTTGAAGGAGCTTTCCAGTCTAAACATAAATCTTCATCCTCAAGACTAAATAAAAAAAAAAAGGTATGAGACAATATAATCTAGGGAGCAGCAAAAAAGGAGACAAGAAAGGTAAATCACTTTATTGTAAAATTTGTAAAAAATAAAATCATGAAAAAAGGAATTGCTAGCATAAAAAAAATCACAATATAGTTTCTGTAAGAAATTCGGTCACAACTATTTTATGTTTGTCAAAACATATCTAGACAGAAAGATGATTAACTTATTGATAGTGGATGCACTAATTATATGACCAAGTGTTCTCAAGCATTTATCAAAATAGACGCCTTAATTAAAGTTCCTATCAAAATGGGCAATGGAGCCACTGTAAAATCTGAAGGCAAAGGTACTATTGCTGTATAGACAAAGAAAGATACAAAATTAATTAAAGATGTTCTATACGTCCCAGATTTAGATAAAAATTTATTTAGTGTTCTACAAATGATACAGAATGAGTATTCTTTTTAGTTTAAGGATGACTCTTATTCAATATTCGATCGAAAGGAAAGCTCAATTGCTTATGTGAAAATGCAACAAAAATGTTTCCTTATACAATGGCAGTATGCTGCAAGGGAAAAATCAATGTATACTCAGATGGATGAGGCAGCAGGGTTATGACACAAGCGCTTCGGACACAGTAATTTTCAGAGTTTCAAACTACTTTCATAGAAAAATATGGTGAAAAGTCTTATTGTCATTTCAAAAACAAGTGACGTATGTGATGGTTGTTAATTAAGAAAAATAATAAGATAATTATTTTCAGCGGGACAAGCACAAAGAGCATTAAAGAAACTCGAATTA